GGGGAAAAAAAAGTGTCCTAACGTTTATATTCTCGTTACTGTTTGTGTATCTTCATGGTTTACTGTTGTCTGAGACCGTTTGTGCTACCAGCTCATGCTGATCATCTATTTCAGCTTTAGCTAAAGACTCAGCAAGGGAAACGTGAGCATGGCTTCCCAATACCCTCAAGAGAAAATGTGCCTGGGACTGCGAGAAAACCCTGTCTGTGACATAAAACGCATGTAGAAAGTGATCTTTATCTCATAGAAACGTCCAGGTTTCAGGACAGGGTAGTTCCACACAACGGAGTTTGTGTTTGTCATTCAAGTTCCACATTGGCTGTAGGTTTTTTGAGCTTCCTTATTCATTAAAATAACCAACAACACGTGGTTTCTTACTTAGTCTCTTCCTAAACTCTCACTGGAAATACATACAGTCAAGTAGATTTAAAACAATTTTACCACAGTGCACCACCCAACAGGAGACCCAGGAGCTTGGCCGGCGCTGGGCATGGAGCGCGTTTCCTACGGCCCGCTCTTCACCAGGGCTCCGTGTGCTGCCAGCTGCCTCCAGGGCTGCCCGGGGGAGCTTCCCCGGGGCCCCTCTCCAGCCCTCCTCGGATTTAAAGCGTTTAGAGACGCGCAGATGTAGCTTTCCTTGGGGATGGAGCGTTCAAAGCGTTTGGAGCTGTTGGGACGGCTGCTCCCCCCCCCCGCCACAGGGGCTGCTGTGGCAGGTAGGCACTTGTCCTGCTGCTGAGGAGAGTTATGCAATACTGATGTGTGTTTTCCCTTCTTTCCCACCCTCCTCCACCTCACCGCAGTTTCTCATCTCCTTTTCTCTGTGTGCATAACTGAACTGTATTTGCCTGTGCGGAGAACAGTGAATTAATCATAGGAACCGCTGTAAAGGTCTGTCCCAGCGCTGCCGTCTCGCTGCAGGGGAAGAGAGCACGGGAGGTCGGCTGCGCTCCCCTAGGCAGCGCACAGGGCGAGGGGCCCGGCAGGGTGTCTCTGTCACTCCAGATTTTTAACACAGCAGCCCTGTGCTGCCTTGGGTGGGTTTGCAGGTAACGCTGCTTGCAGCTCTGCCTGTCTCGGGGCGGTTAAGACTTGCTGCATCTTTCGCTTAAAGCGTGTGGTTCAGGCGAGTGGCCTCAGCATCTGGGAATATGTTTTGTGCAGGATTAGGAATCCACTGCAGTAACGTGTGCTTGGATGCTGTAAACCTTCCTTTGGTCGTCTGAACGATGCTTAAAGACAAAAAAAACTTTGACATTTTCATGTGCAGAAATGAGCTGGAACCTGTTTTTCTATGACACTGACACTTTTTATGCGGTTTATATGTGAAATACCCATGGCTGGCTGTGCTTCTGCTGCGCCATTTCTTAGGGTGTGCTTGCAAAGATGGTCTAAGCTGAGGAGGTTGTGGATGCTATGATGCTCCCTCTCTTTTCCTCTTGGTTCCCACATTAGCTTGTGCAAGGGAAGTTTCAGGAGCGACTTGACAAGAGGCAGCAACGTTGCACCAATGGCTCGCGGTGAGAGCGGAGCTCGTGTCATCAGGCTGTGCTCGGAGGTGTCCCTGCCAAAAGCAATATATTCTGGTTTTAGCTGGTCGGTGAGAGGATGGTTTGGCTGCCGCACCAGGTCTTGCCCTGGAATAAGAGGGGGAAAGAAAAGAGGAGCCAGACTGAAAGGGAAGGAGGGGAACTGGCAGGGCCACTTTCTCTTTAGTGACACAGCTCTTGGTGCATGAATGCTGGTCTGGAAAACTGAAGCTTTTGACTTAGGACTATTTTTTAATGTCAGGCTTATAAATTGCATTCGTAGTCTGAGAACCCAGCCTACAAATTACCTCTTGTCACGTCTGCTCCTTGGCACGCACGTGGTCTGCATCTCCTTGGGGTGGGAAATCTCTGTGATGAGGAGACTGTTCAGGTTGGGCTTTGGCAGCTCCGGGATGGAGAGAGCGTAGGAGGGTCGGTCCTACATGTCCTGCTTGGTGGGCAGTGCGGTAAGCAGCAGCTGCTGCCATTCCCTGTGTTTGGCATGCAGGAGGAGAGAGTCAAAGGGAATAAATGCTCTCGTCTCCTGACGGTCAGGGTTAGAGTTCGGAGCAGAAAACCATTTTTCTGCATGTGCATTGTGGGCATCAGATGCTCAGCAAAGCCCCCTGACACCATCAGGAGATCTTTAAATTGGGAACTTGTCTGCTTTGTCGTGTTTATGTTAACTGGGCTCATAAACTAAGGCAAGGAAGTTTGCCATCATCCTGGCTGCTTCTGAATTTCCATTATTGTTGCTGCGTGAGCCATCTTGCCTGTAGTATGGCAGCAGTCATATTCATAAGGTCTTCTGAAAACACGTTCAGGAAGCGTGGAGGGAGAAGAGAGAGAGAAATTGAACCTATTGAAAGCGGGAATGTGTTTCCCATGGGAAACAAAGGGAATTTTGGATAGAGCATGTGTAATCTATTTACTGATTTTCTGGTCCAACCTGGATGTGCTTTTTGATGGTAAAATCTTTGCTATTCAGACCAGCAGGTGCCCTCTCTTTGCTGGAGAGGGCTGTTCAAGTTAGCTGGGAGATGACCACAGAGTGACTTGAGTCCGTACTAGGAACACACAAAACGGAAATCTTGGAAGAGTTTTCAGGCTAACAAAGATATAAAAAGCACAAGTGGCTTTAAGTTGGAAGCGAGGTGAGGTCAGGAGAGAAGCAGGCAAACGTTTAAGTGAAGCATTTAACTAACTGTGGGCACTATTTACAAAGGCAGAATTTCTATGTTCTCATCAGTTCGGGAATGAAGCTTAGGAAAACAATCTAAAGAGATTCTTTATTCCTAAGAGAAAATAATTTGGGAAGCTTATATGATCCTGAAGGTCAGAAGAGATGATCCCAGCTAGTCCTACCTGGCCTGAAGATGTCTTTGAGGTATTTCTTAGAAGCTGTACATCCTCTCTGGACATGTATCCTCCTGTTGCAAATCCATATAAAGAAATGAAAACCGGGAGAATAAACATGGACACTTCTGCTGGAATAGAACTTCTTTACAAATGGAAATGTGGGATAAGTGATTGACTCATTTTAGTGGTTCCGTATATCAAAATTGTCATTGTATTAGTGCTGTTTTTTAATCCTTATAAGGAAACAAGCTCCGAATACTGTCATGAGAGAGAGGTGTCTGTGGATTTTTTTTCCCATCTTTTTTCTGTGAACAGAAGTGTAGGATAACAGTAAAGCCAAATGCAGAGAGCAGATGCTCTGCAAACAACCCACTCAAAACATGGGAGCCACGCACTGGGTGGCACTCTGTTAGCTCTCATGGAGCTTTCCCTGCGTTTTTCCTAATGCGTTAGGAGTATGTTATGTAGAATACCACCAATATTTTCACAGTTTCTTTAAGTATCTGCTTAGTAAGAAGAGATGATCTTGTTGTTCTTTATATTTGTAGCTAATACTCTTTCGTGACTGGAAGGTAATTTCAGGAAAAAAAAAATCAGTGAAGTGTCTCTGCGATGAGATGAATGCGAATGCAGATGGGGACTTTGCTCTCTTTATGGGATACTAAGTTAGGTGGGAGATGTTTCCCTTTGAGACTTCACAAGGGGTACATATTTTGATGATGCCTCTTGCAGTGTCTTCAGGGGTGCTGAGGCGTTTTCAAAGCACCATGTTTTCTTGCTGAAGCAGATGCTCCTGCAAGAATACAAATGCTCTCCCAGGTGTTGTGTGACTAGCCGTGAGCCGAGCTTCTCTGAACGTGGTACCACCGATTCCACGAGGCTGCTTCCCAGTTCCTGTCAGCTGCAGCACTGGAAGCCCGGGAAGCCACGAGCTCCCAGGCCGAGTTTCAGGGAGAGGGCTGAAGTTTCCACCTCCATAGCTTGTCGAGCGGCTCCTCTCCGCTGGGCTCCCGAGGAGGAGGAGGAGCTGCCCTCGCGCTGTGGCGAGTTGTGTCTGGTCACACGCGGGAAGCTCTCGTAGCCCGGAGGCTGACGTACCCCGGCGGCACGGATCCCGTTGTACGGCGAGACAAAGCTCCTGTGGTTTTCCTGGGGAGCAACCGGCTGGCTTCTCTTGTGGCACATGCTCTGGGCGCCAGGCAAACAACAGGGCATAATTTAATAGAATTTCCAATGCAAGTAACACTCTTGCTTCAGCTTACAGACTCGAATTAAATCACTGGTGGGAGGGGAAAAAGCTGCTTTTGGGCTAAAAATTTTCAGGACGTTTTGTTTGTGTTTGTGCAGCTGGCACATCCACAGCTGATAACTGCTGCAGATGTTGCATGGAGAACTGCAAGGCTTCTGTCTGAAAAAGGCAATTGTTTCCCTTCGACATCTTAATTAGTTTTTATAAAAATAAAAGGAAGAGGTTGGGAAATGTCTGTGGGAGAATTCTCGTGGTGTGAACGATTCTTATGAGCTGTGATCCGGGCATTGCAGGGTACCAGGGACATTCCCAATGCAGAGGAGCCATCCCCCTTACATGATTTTAGGTGTCTCTTCTGTGTTTGAAGAAATACATAATATTTCTACTAAGAAAATGTCAGTCTTCATCTCCTTGGGGCCTGTCTTGCAGCATTTCTATGGTGAAAGACAGAGCAAAAATATTTTTCCTTCTCACTTTGCTGTTGACAGCAGAATTCCTCCTTGCAGTTTTTTTAGAGAGTCTGTGGAAGGTATGTTGTCTTCAGCACCAGCAGTGACGATGATGCAGTAATTTTGCTGCTGTTGATAATGTATTATTTGCACAGTCTTAGGAGCTGCCTTCTTTAAGAAAAGTGATCGTTTCACAACATGCCTAAAAATCAATATGGGATGTGTAAGGGGGGAAAAAAAAAAGACACTGAGACACAAAGCCTGAGATGCTTCTAAGCCATCTGCTTTTCAAAAGACAACAGGGAATTCTGGTTTCCGTCTGGAGAAAACTACCCTCTTATTTCAAGGAAGCAGGGGCTGCATCACCTTTACCATCAAAAGCTGAATATTCTGTGGTGTGTCTAGGTAGACAGGATGGCTGATGTGGTAAGAGCACCCAACATACACACTTGAAAAATCCTCTGTTTTCCAAATAACAGGACGTTATTTGGGTCATATGATACTCGCAGGCATGATTCATCCACCTGGGCTTTATGCCAGTCAGCAACTGTGCGGACCTGACACCCCAAGAGTACTCCAAAATTATTAAAGCTGCATTTTTTTTTCTTCAAATAGTGCTGCTGATTATAGCTGGAAAAAAAAAGGCAGATAATTTATAGTTCCCTTCTGAAGGAATTAGATTTGTTATGTAGATGCAAGAGGTGCAGCGTGGAGAGAAGAGGCTGCAGAGGAGATCTTGCTGAATGAGCTCAGCTGGTCTTCCTCAGCTTACAGGCTTTCTTCAAGGTTGCTATCTTGATATAGAATCCTACTGGGAGCAGAGAAGACATAATTGTTATTTGAGTGTATGTGTTTGAAGCTCAGCTAGCTGTCGAGAGCTGGCCCTACTTAGTTACCATGAGCTAAAAATTGCCTGTGTTCCGCCTCCATGAAACTTTTGTACACAGATGATAATCTCTTTGCAGCACAGAAACACCGTGCACTTTACTACAAAAAAAGGCATTCGGTTTGTGCTAAGTTAATTGTCAAGAAATTAGGTCATGCTTATTTTTAAGCATGTATGATGTGTGGACAGACACTCTTAATTAAAAATTCAACACATTGTGCTGAGGGAACCATGGGGTTGTCTTTTTAAGATGCCAAGGTATCTGGCAAGACAAAGAAGTTTGTAGTAGCAGGCGTGATTTTTTTCCTCACTTATGTTAGTGAATAGTGGGAGTAGATTCTCTGGGGACTTGCTGAGTTGCTTGCCTTGCATTTCTTTGTGCCTGTATTCTTCAAAATGCAGCCCCTAGTGGTTTTGAAAACTGATTTCCCCCCTTAACACCTACTTCTTCGAGTCCCATACAGAGTAGTCTTTATATAAGCGTCATTAGAAAGCAAAGTATGAAGTTTCCAGAGTGGAAATAAAGAGGCATCCTGCTAGAAAGGAGGTGAATAAGTATAACCCCTGCCACTTTGTAAAGTAGTAATTTTAACTTATATTAAATGAAAACTGAAACACGTATCTTCTGCCTTTCCGAGTTAGTGAGTTTCCCAGGGAGCAGGATGAGAGGAGGAATATTTGTAAGGATGTCTTGGTTATGATGCTCTTGCCCTAATGTGTTTTTTGTGTTGTTCTTTCTTTCTTCCAGATAAAGAAGAGGCAACAAGATGTGGTGAGGTTTCTAGAAGCCAATCGTATCGAGTTTGAAGAGGTGGATATCACAATGTCAGAGGAGAAGAGACAGTGGATGTATAAAAACATTCCTGAGGACAGGCAGCCCGCGCAAGGCAATCCGCTGCCACCGCAGATATTTAGTGACGATCGGTACTGTGGAGTAAGTAGCTACTGTGGTCATCAACTCACAGTGGTGCCCTGTTTGCCATTTAAAAAGTCAAGATTTGGGGTAAAGATTTATCTAGTAGTGTCTGAACTAATGTTGGCAGCTTGCAGGGGTAGGAGCAGGTAATACAACGAGTGAAAATTCAGATAATTCATCTGTAAATCCTAATGTTCTTTTCAGCTAGTGGATTTCCCATCAGAGGAACAAGGCTCGGGGCTGTCATGTACAACCTATGGATGGTAAAATCCCTTGTCAGACCACCTGAATCTGAAGTGTCCTGGATTTGCTGCTGCTAAGATCAGCAAGAGATCTTAGGCACCATACATGAGATTGCTGGCTGGACTGAGTTATATTGTCACTGCAATTTAGCCTTCCCTCTTGTGCTGTCATAGGGTTAATTGCATTTACAGTCAGAGAGTCTTTATGCAGTCAGAGTCTCTAGGAGTCTCTCCTCAAAATGTGGAATAGTTTTATTTTTCCTATAAAGGAGCTTGAAAGTTGTCCATATTTCTTGAAAGACTGCTAAGCATGAGAGCCTGTGACTGGCAGCAGTCTGATGGATGGGCAGATTTCCCTGCTGGTGTGGTATGCTCTAGCAGTTTTCCTATCCACTAGTGCAAGCAGAGGCATGAGCCTTTGACTAATGTGTTAAGAATGGCACCATATGGGTGTTTTATTCTCCTGCGTAGCCAGGATGGTGTGCTGCAGGCCCAAGGCTCTGGCACTGTCGTGGTTTGGGAATATCGTCCCTGATCTTGGACTTCAACCTCGTGGCTTGTCCATCCTATGGGATGTGGGGTACCCGTTAGACCGACTGCAGTTTGATGTGCCCACCCTGGGCGCATCAGGAAGCAAGTGAAGCTTGTATGTGAATGCAGCAGGAGGATGAAATGGGGTTATAATAGCTAAATCAGAGTATCTTTGATGTCTGAGTTGCTGTTTCTTACCCTATCTACATCTTTTCAGCTTTTCTTCATAGTATGTTTTAACCCAGTCTTAGAAAACCTGTTAATTGCTGTTTGGAATTAGCCAGACAGGAGATGTCATGCAACATGGAGATGATCTCATTAATCTGTCTGCTTAGCTGATAACTGTTTTGGTTGAACAGAGGTAATCCTATTACTAGAGCTCACTGTGTGAACATCTTTAAAGAACAAACATACTTTGAGAAGAAGCTGTATATTTTCTAGGGTGTCTTAGAAAACCTGTTAATTGCTGTTTGGAATTAGCCAGACAGGAGATGTCATGCAACATGGAGATGATCTCATTAATCTGTCTGCTTAGCTGATAGCTGTTTTGGTTGAACAGAGGTAATCCTATTACTAGACCTCACTGTGTGAACATCTTTAAAGAACAAACATACTTTGAGAAGAAGCCATATATTTTCTAGGGTAAAGAAAGAAGCGCGTGCAGTAACTTTCCTCAGTTCCCTCCCAGCACTAGTTAATGAGGCTCTTAGGTAACAGAGTTGAGACAAAACATTAGGCAGGAGGCAAAGGAGGTCAGCTCTGGAAAATGGGGTAGAATATTGCAGAGGAGTTAGATGGAGTAAGCAGACACTGCATGTGTCTTCTGCTCTTGTGGTTATACATGGAGGTCTTTCATCTTGACGCAAATATTTCACCAAAAAAAATCATTATTAAATAACTTAAAAAAAAAAAAAATACCCAGAGATTTCTGTCAGCTGAATTAGTGAAAATTATACCTTCTGGTTTCTGATTTGTGTCCAGGCAATTTCTAAATCCAATTTGCTCTGTTCACAAAGGGCTGTCTGTTTTTCTGCCTGCCAATTCTGCAGTCTCACCATGTTACCAGGAAACTACCTATATACTCGTTCTGGCTTATGCATTATTACTGACAATCCAAATTGGTCAGATCCTTTGTTGTTTCTCCAAACACATTAAGGCTAGATAGAGAAAAACAAATCAGGTGCACTTTTTATTTTGTTCTTGCATTTCAGGAGAGATTCACAGAAATATGGCATACAAGCCAAAATAGGGTATTTTGTGCTCCCAGCCATACTGTTTTCCTGTGTTAGGAAAAGCGCTGATGGCTGTGGGTTTTTTCCCCACTCCATCTCTTCCTCAGTAGAAAAACTCAGCAGTGTGCTCAGGAGAATTACTTGAGAATAGAATTTTCTGGTTAGGAAATTATCACTTGAATGATCACTTTTCCCAAAGTAAATGCACATTAGAGGAAGTTCATCTTCAGTCTTTTCCCTAAACATACGAAGCTGGCTGGTTTGAGCTGTTTGATTTTGTGATAGCTTGTAGGAGGAAGAAGGTGAAAAAAGAAAACCGGTGCTTCCTGGTTCACAAAACCAAATGTCTTGCACCCAGGAGGAGGGATCCTGCTCATATCAAAGGACAACTCCAAGTCATGACCATGACATGAGCAAGACCTTGAAATTTGGTCTGGGTTGATGTAATCACAAATGGCATCATTAATCTGTCTTGTTCTTTTCTCGGTCTTTGGAGACCCACTCCCTGTTTTTTCAGTAACAGGTTCTGCTAATGGGATTTTGATATACAGTGCTCAGCAAGAACCATTTTTACTTCCTGTTCACAAGATAGATAAGAGCTGTAATCCCAGCAGAACACAAATCATTTAACTGATAACCCAGTGTTGTGTGCTAGCACCAACACTATGATAACTTACATATTTTTATGCCTTTGCAATCTGTTGTTTCATCGTAGTGACATTGCTGTAGCATTGCCAGTATGTGAGGAAAGAGTCTACTGAAATGATCCCAGTGATCTTGCTCTACTTAGCACTGTTTAAGGAAATTTCAGTGTATGTGCTAGGAAGGAACGATCTTGCTCTACTTAGCACTGTTTAAGAGTAAGGAAATTTCAGTGTACGTGCTAGGAAGGAATGCTTGTGCGCAGCGTAAGAGGAGTAAATCTGAAATACCTTGGAAAGGACAGGAGAGTGCAGAACCGTCTTTTTCAGTAGGAACTGACCAACATTTTCAACTCTGAACGAATTTTTTTTTAACTGGCAGTCTAAAGCCTTTTGACTCAGGAATTTTACAATTTATAGACATGATGTAGCATCAGCTAAAGGGGCTGTAAATGAGACCTTCATTTAACACTTTGTATCTTTCATGTAGCAGTTTTGTCACTTCCTGCTGCAGCTGAAAGCAACCCTGAACTGTATTCAGGCCTCTACTTAGATCATTGCAAAGTACCTAAAAATTAGGTAGCTTGTTTGTAAAGCTGTTTCAGCATGTAAGGAAATCCATGCTAGTCTCGAATTGAATGAGTCTCTGTCTCATGCTAGTCCATGAGTCTCTGAACTGATGAAGACAGAACTTTTAGAGTCAGGGTGACATTTGGCACTTCTGTTATGTATTGTGTTTTAAATACTTTCTCTAAGGGACTGTCACTGTGCTCACATTGACCAAAAAAAAAAAAAAAAGTCCTTATTAGGTGGGCCAGTCTGTATTCACCACTGTTTTAACTACCGAGATACTGTCTTGAAGAACTGCATTATTCTGTGGACTATCTGCTGCTCAGCTGTTACCGATTTGTCAGCCCAGGACAGTACAGCCACCTGTCCTGACTGGATTTTAAGCCCTTTTCTTTCTTTTTTATTTATTTTGATTTTTTTTTAGAAGCTGTCTATGTGGCCTGCTGACAACAGGATTCTTTTTATTTCCCTCTGCCAGAGCGTAAATTGACATTTTAGGGTCATATTGAATTGTCTGTATCATTTTTTCAAATGAATTTCACTTGAGTCCTTGTGTACAGTAATGAGGACAGAAGGTCCTGTTTTGGTGGAAAGATGGAGACTGTGTTTGGGTTTTCACCCTTTGCTTTCAAGGATACAGAAAAAATTTTTGAATGCTTCAGTTCCCATTGTGAATTTATGTGCACCCAGTCACATAAGTGATTTTGCATATGAGTTATGCAGATTATTCTAAAGAATTGCTGGTAGGATACACCGTAGTACCAACTATCAGCATTTTACATTTATTTAAAAATAATAATTACTTATTTGGCTTACTGTTTTTGTCAAGATCATGGAAAATCCAGGTGGATGGAACCACAGATTCAAATGTTAGGGCTGGATTCACAAGGGACTGTGGCATGATGCCAAGGCTTCCAGGGTGGAATTTGCAGTCCCAGGCTGGGGCTCCAGCTTCTTCACGCAGTAGTGAGAAGCTGTAGATACATATATCTAAGCAGGACTTAGAGCAGCCAGAGCATTGAGCATGGAGAGCTCTTAAAGCAGCAAGAAATTCTGGAAAACTGGGCCTATGCCTTGTACTTCCCTCTCCAGCTATATCTGAAATCTCTACAACTGACTTCACAACCCATCTTGGACTAGAAGTGGATCCCGGGTCTCCTAGAAGGCTGGAAATCTCCAGTTCTCAGTGAAACAGTACTCTACTTTTGACCTCGCAAAACTGCAAGCTAACACTTGGAAGTGATGGAAGTTTTATATGTAGAAAGTTTGGCCCTGGATTGCCTGAAATTTAGGCCAAGGAACATTCAAAGGAAAGCTGTTCCCAGGTGGGAGTTTGAACTGAGGAATAAATATTTACATAACAGGCTGACTTGATTTTTTTCTTTCTTTTTTGGAAGCTGCTCAGATGGTTTAGAGTGAGCCCTGGTAGATTGCCTAGTGGGCAGAGCAATAGGCACAGAGATACGTGGTATTTATTGTCTTTCCCTGAAATGTAATATATGGATATCACTTCCATCAGAACAGCAAAGGCCTGTAGATAAGGAAGAAGCAAAACTAAAAGGGCTGCAGTGTTCTCAAAAAACTATTCAGTACTCTGGCACTCGCTGTGGCACCGATTTCTCTATTTCTCTACTCTGTGAAATACCAGTCTCTTTAAATTTTTTTTTTCTTTTCTAAGATCCTGACGAGAGTCGCACGCGTTCCTCACAGAAGGAAGGTAACGCAGAGCTGGAGCTCCGTGTCCGCGTGCCCGGGCGCCGCGGCAGGGGCTCCCCGTGGCGTGGCAGCCGCAGCGCGTCCCCTTGGGGAGCTGAGCCCTCGCGGGCGGCCAGCAAGGCTGCCTCCACGTCCCTGCACCCTCGGAGGGGTCTCCCACACCCGCTCAGCGTCTTGATGTCCGGCCTGGTCTTCAGGGAAGAAGGAACCCGCCTCGCGAGGTGGAAGCCGGTGTTCATTGCTTGGAGATCGTATGGCTGTTAGATAAGCGGTGGATGGTGCTGGAACTTGCTTGATTTTAACTCACCCACACAAATTTTTTTGTACAAGAGGCAGTTCCTTGCGTTTTAAGCCATGTAAGCTCTTTGTTTGAAATTGCCCTTGGTTACCTTCTGCAGCTCCTTGCAGGTAGTCCATGGATCCCAAGCAGAACATAAAAGAGTTAGGGCTGGGGACTTAGCACTGTTTTTCTTCCTAATTACTCCACTTCAAACAAAGTGAGGTGTCGTTGGAAAGGCAACTGCTGCCCATGGCTCTTCTCCATGTTGGCAGGATTTCGCTCAGCTTGTTCTTGGGATCCATATTGGTGTAACTCGTAGGTTCCTTCGTGCTTTCAGCTTCCGCCACTCTACTGTGGATCCATGTCCTGAGGCAAAGAACTGGAGCTCTTTGTAATATGCCCTTCCTTAAGAGGCTTGTGGGACTAGAGCGATCAGCCTACCTAGAGCTTAAGAAAACAGAAGCTCAGCAATTCAGTAAAAATAAAGTAATGGAAGAATTTCATAGATAGATGATGTCTATGTGCCTGGTCACTGGCAAACATGGCATGAGCCACAGTTTGTCGTGTGCCGTTCAGAACGGAGCTGTCCCTGACATCTGCCTCCCTAGTGCTGGAGTCTCAGCATATGGAGAGAGTAGCAAAAGACACACCTGGCCTTTAGAGAGCGCGACAGGCTGCCCTGCAGGCTCAGGGATAAAAGCTCTTTAAAAATCCTGCCCGGGGATCTCATCTGAGGTTAGCTAGTGGGGACCGCACCGTGTCCAGAGCTGCGCAGACAAGGTCTTGTGCGTGTCCCTGCCGGAGCAGCGGGGCTGGACTAGGTGATCTCGAGAGGTCCCTTCCAACCTCAACCCCTCTGTGATTCTGTGTCCGTAGGTGCTGTGGGAGAAGGGCTCCCGCGCAGGCGCGCGCTCCTTCCCCGGGAGGGCCGTGCTCAGCAGGAGCTCTCCTTGGCCATCCCGTTTCCAGGAGGGACCCTGGTGTCTCATTCTCTGGGCTGTATGGAGTGAGTCGGGCAGGAGCAGAGTGCTGATTCACTTCGTTTAAACTGCACGTTCCCCAGCGCCGCGACCTTGTCTCTTTTGTAGGAATGCAGAGAGATTGTCATCATGTTTAATAAGTGATTGCCAAAGAGAAACAATTTCTGACAGCATGGCAATACACTGTCTTTATGTTGATCTCTAATAATTAATATACATGAAAATATCCATATATGAAAATGCTACATTTGTAAGCTACATTTGGACAAGTTGCTTGTTTTTTACTTCTTGATGTGGAAAGGTAAACACCTGATAAGCAATAACAATGTTTGGGATGTTTAGCTAGCTCTTTTTCTCATTGCAAACTAAAAGTAACAGGGCAAATTTTCTCTTTTAAAGAAGCTTATTAGGAGGAGTTTTAATCATAGTTGCTGTCTTCAAAACATAATAGAGGATAGTATTTTCCTAATCTCAGTTGCAGTAATGGATGGCCGTTATCTATATAAGTGCTGACTGGTAAATGAAACCTACTGTATCAGTATTGGAATTTACTGCTTATCCAATGCCAGAATTTTTTGCCCATGTGTCTCGAAGCACAAATTGTTTTTTTTTGTGCTGATCTGCCGTATTGCCAGTTTTAACTTTGGTGTGCAGAAAACAGCTTCTTCCAGCAGTGACAGGGTGTGTTTAAGCAAGGCTTAGCAACCTGAGCCAAATTAATTATGGCTCTGCCTGTAATCACATCACTGCAGTGGTTTGATCTCCCAGCACCATGAAAACAGGGGATACACATCATAGCTGTGCTGAGCTAGGTGAACAGTGGCTGCAGAGAGAGGAGAGCTACCCTGGAAAGGGAATTTCGGAGGAGGAGAGGATTCCCACGAGCAACAGCTTTCTTGCCGGAGCGGATGGTAGAAAACCCACATGAATGCCAGAAGGACACGTGTCGTTATGAAGAGCTAAATCCAGATTTCCTGATTGCTAGCCCACTCTGTCAAGGGCAAGGATGCTCTTACTTTAATACAGCATTCGGGTAGTGGCTGATAGTTGGGATTTCTGAATAATTGAGACATTAAGAGAATTCTGCCTCTGATTAATCTGGCTTTAAAGAACTGCAGAGCAACCATTGCACCTCCTAGTTGGAGGGTTACTGGAAGGACTTGAATTTTGAAAACAAAACAATAATGTCTGAGACTGTTGTTGTTGTTAGCACATTCAATGGACAATTACACTTTGATTATCTTAAAACTTTGCATAACGTATAACCTAAGATAACAAAAATAGCCTTATAATGTGAGCCTGAAGTTCACATTTGCTTCTGCAGTGGTCATAGGCATCTGCCTGGGAAAGGCTACGAACAAGACAAGTAGCTTCACCACCTTCCTCTCATCTCATGTAGGGTTACTCTGCTTCTGAAGATCAGAGTCTTTCTCTCTGTTCTGGTTTAGAATTGCTCAAGCCATTGGTTTGGATGGTGAGAAGCTAAGTCTACTGCAGCCAGACGGCCAGTAGCCTGTTAAGACGCATTTTCTCACTTGAAATAGCTTTTAACTTAGCTTATTGGCGCTCCTGTTGCTGCTCTATCCCCTCAAACTATCCTGTATCTTTTCTCCTTGCTGGCATTTGTCATTCTCTGCAGCCTTTTGTACCCTTGTTGCTTGATGCATCACCTGTATTTTGTGGCTTTTCAAATTTTCCTGGGGGAATGAGCACTGCTGCCTCAGTGATGATTCATGTTCACTGTCTCTATGTCCCTCTTGCTTTATTAGCTTTAATTAGTTACTGATGTTGCCAGAACTTTATATGTTAATAGCATGTAATTAGCAGCTCTGGAAAGCCTCAAAGATCATAATTTAAAGCGGTCTAGTCGGAATTATATTTATACATGTAGCTTCCCTTGGAAGTGGAGCGGTGGGTGGCAGCTTGCCATACCACCTTGCTTGTGCATTCTTAGGTGAGCAGCTGCTTTCCGGATGCCTCCAGGGAGCCAGCGGGAGCCGCTTCCTTGCAGGAAGGCCGATCCCGCCGCTCGGCTGCTCCCGGCTGGCACAGGGCAGGGGATCTGAGGTAACTTATCATCCGCAGCAACAGGGAGCCCCTGACTTGCCACAAAGAGCTGATGGGGCCTCCCTCCTCTGTGGGATGCAGAGGGTCCCACAGGGCTTTCCCAAGTGGGACCTCAAGCCCTTGCCTGTGTTTGAAGCTTCTGGCTCCCTCTAAGCTTCCAAACGTTTTCCTTCTTCAGTGTTTTCCTTCAGCAGCAGCTAACGCTGATAGCACCAGGGCTATCTTTGTTTCTTCGTGTTCCCACAGTTTGATTTGGTGTCTTTACAAACGGCCCAAATCTGTGCAGACCTTCTCCCCTTATGAAAGGAGGGATGTTTTTGGAACATCTCTTATCCTGTATCTCTGTTCCTGGTTGGTAAAAACACTAGTAATGCTTGAGATCGGAGCCTGATCTTTGGAAGGTGAATGTTAAATGGAACCTCTTTGTAATAAAGAAGCTTATTTTATAGGAAAATATGGTAATATATTGTATTTAACCACGTGGTTGTCAAAGTCTGGGATATGATTGCTGTTTTCAGAGGATACATTGGTGATGAAGTCACTATTCTACCACAGGCCAATTATTTAAGGAATTCAGCTTCTATAGGACTCTTCCTTCAAGTTTTTTGTTTTTAAAAGTATTTTGTTTCCTAAAATGCAATTTGAAAAACCTGTTGGAAACTTACTTTTAGACACTTAATTACCTTTATGCTTATGAATGTAAATCAGCATTTATATTATTCTGTGAAGCTAATTAGTGAAAGGTGTTAGAAAATTTGTGTATTTTTCTTTCATGTTAGAGTTGGTAATATTGTTACACTTTAAAATACTTGTTAGGTTTTCATAGGGGAATATGTGTAAGTATCAATGAATATTTTCCTGAAAATTATTACGAATCCCCCTCCACTCTAATATGTAGTATGGGAGGATCGAGCAGGAGAACACTATTGACTGGTTATATTGAATATGGAAATACTGACTGATGGTTTTTTCCTCTAGGATTATGATGGCTTTTTTGAATCAAAGGAAAGTAACACTGTCTTCTCCTTTCTTGGACTGAAACCTAGTTTGGCATCAAAGGCAAGTGTAATATTGCAGACTTCTTATGAAATTTGTGAAATATTAAGTTTTCTTTGAACAGAAAGGACTCAGTGTGTTCAGATGGACCATTATCTTGATAGCTCTCCATATCATAATGCTAATGAGGTAATTGGAGCTGCTGCAATGAGAGGTAAAGCATTTTAAATGAAACCAAGTTTTACATGCGAGTTAATTTGAGACAGCAAATGAATTAAGTTCAGGGAACATATTTGGCTTCCGTTTATCAGTGTAAATTGAAAGCCACTGACTTAATTGTAACAGAGAACTGAGCCTGGGTCTGTAGCTAACACCACCAAAACATCATCTTTCTGGGCCAGTCTGCCATAATGGACCAACCAGAATGACATTTATTCCTTGAGTATCAAAAAAAAACATGCTGAAATGGTGGAGTGGTAGCAACATTTTAAAGAATGTATATAGCAGGACAGAGCAGAGAGCCAGATAACATGTTCCTGTTGAGGGCAGTGTAACAGAGGATACTTTACTGCCTTATGGAAGCCTGAATGGGCCTGGACAGTCATGCAAGGAGAGTAAATATGATGCTTCCATGGGCAGTAGATCAGATATCTAGGGAAAGGTTTTCTCCTGGGTTGGGTTAGTAGTACTGTTTCTGGCCTGGTTTGTAGTGCTCCAGTATCTATAAAATTCCTCATTTGCCAGGAATTCCTTTATTTCTAGACTCCATGGGGAGATGAGTCGGAGGCAACCTCAGCAGGGAACCACAGAAACAGTTTATTTTGGCAGCCTGCTGTGTTTCCTATCTCAAAGAATTAGTTGTAGGAAAAAGGTGATCTCATAGTGAAACCAGTAGTGCATCTCTGCAGCTCTGTTCCTGGGCAATGTAACCTGTGGTAGGTCTAGAGGAGTGTTCATACAGATATGGTCCCATCACTATTTGAGTCTGTTAAGAAAGTGAGGCATCCTCAGCTGTTACAGGGACTAGGGCTAGGAGTACCCCCATTACCAAAGATATCCATGGTCAGACACTGAGAAAGGAGGAAGGGCTGGGAGGGACAGGGAAAGAAGGTGAAATTCACAAATGTTGGGGATAAGAAACCAGGAACACATTATGGTATTAACAACCTGTCTCTCTCTCTCTCTCTCTCTCTCTCTCTCAAAAGTAGGAGTCAGAACCCTAGGAAACCTCTCTGAAGCTTCAACAAGCCCATCTTCTGAATGAACAACCCTGCTCTTAGCGCACGATGGCTTCCCTGATGGATCACTGTGATAGAGCAACACGCATCATTGTATGTTCTGCTTGCCACTGGGATGGTGCTCACCAACTGAATGGAGTTAATAACTTACCTATGAAATGGGGCTAACACTGAGCTGCTCATCTTCCTTTTCAAAAATACTCATCGCTGATGTTTCACATTTGTCTTTAGATAGCTTTTATAACTGGCACTGACATTCTTTCTGACACGCATCATAGGATGAAAGGCCTGTATAGTTAATGGGTATGCTCACATGATCAAGTTGCTTACCTTTTAAAATTCTTGTAATTTGAAATAACTGCACTTGGAATTAGCTTACTCTGATAGATGGAGTGCTGGTGCTTGTTAGGTAGTCTGTGTTATTTGCAATCTGGTAGGTAAAAGCAGTCAATCTTCGGATCTCAGTCCAAGTTAAAAACTGCCATATATCTTCTCTACCTTACTTTATAGTGATGTTTATACTAATGTATGATTATTTTAAGAGACATGAGCTGCTAACCTTAATCATGAAAACTTGATTTGCCTCAAGAAGAACATTGCAACTGGCTGTTTAAAAGCAGTTGTTACCAGGGAGGGGGTGCCAAGATGGAATATTTTGACAAGGGTCCTTTTCCAAATACAGGCAAAATGCGCATGGATGGAAAATACTGGGTAGTTCGGTAGATGAGATCTCAGACCTAATTATTATATTAAGTAATAATAATTCTGTTAAGTTAGAAAGATGCAACCAAAACCTTGAATTTCACTCCAGTAATATACTGCTGCACCATTATCCACCTAAGAGCCAGGAGGATGCTTTGAGAGTGAGGGCTCAGTCCCGGAGAGGGTTAAAAACTCTGCCGAGCACAACCAACTTGCTCAGCTGTTGTTCCCATGTGCCCCCCTCCTCCCTAGATTTGGGAAGGGATGCCTCAAGGACAGGGATAAATCTGCATGTGTGCTACGCTGGACGAGGCTACGGTAGTCAGCCCTGCTGTGGAGCAAGAGCTAAGGAAAGGGAGATTGCCCCAGAGGCACTGCTTTGATGCACATAGCAGAAATTAAGCCCTTGGCTTTCCAATAAGCATTGCAAAATGCATTTTAGTAAGAAGTCAAATCACATTCTGCATTTTGAATCACTTTTAGCTCCTTAAATAACAGCTAAGCTGCAATATAATTCATGCTGAAGTGATTTCAGAACGGCTGGATAGTGCTATTCCAGTAACTGTCCTTATGTCTCCTTATGTTAGCTCCCATAACATCCTCAGGAAGTGTGGATTAGATGAGTGGACAGTGGGGTGGATTTAGAACGGGATGGATGGCAGAGCTCAGAGGGTGGTGATGAATTGGGCTGAGTTTAGTTGGAGACCTGGGGCCAGTGGTGTCCTGCAGGGGTCAGTACTGGACCCAGTGCTATTCAACTTGTTCATCAATGACTTGGACAAGAGCACAGGGTGCACCTGTAGCAAGTTTGCAGGTGACACCAAACTGGGAGGAGTGGCCGACACTCCCGAGGGCTGTGCTGCCATTCAGAGAGACCTGGACAGGATGGAGAACTGGGCAGAGAGGAACCTCATGAGGTTCAACAAGGACAAGTGCAAAGTCCTGCACCTGGGGAGGAATAACCCCAGGCACCAGGA